GGGGGGGGGGGGGGGGGTTCAGTGTTTGCGGCTGGGTCTGGGGCTGAGCGTCTCCCGTAGAGAATGCCACCGAAAGTTGCACACCGAATATGCAGAAGTCAGACCCTGTCTACGGTTTAGATTCCCCTAACCTATCCCTCAATTCCTGGCCGTTTAGGCTGCAAGGTACAAACCTCCCCCAAAACTCCTGCAGCCACACTTACCCATTAGGCCGAAACCTAAATTAGAAGCCCCACTAGAATCCGAAGAGTTGACGAAGCTAGAAGCCCCGAACCCCAAGCCCTGCAAGCCCTGAACCGAAGGGCCTTGGAACTAATCAGCATCCGCATGGAGCCGGTGGCACCCCGGGAAGCAGCAAGCATCAGGGCTGTGACACCTGCTCCACATGCAGGGGCTGGGTTTAGGGTTTGATGCACCCTACACCCTCAACCGTAAATCCCTCTACGGATTCCTCTACAGCTTCGCGTGCAAGGTTTAGAATTCGAGGGCGAGGGAGCGGTCTTGCGCAAAAAGGGTGAAGCCGCGGATAAGATCGGGGGTTCCAGGGTATGTTCGCTACATCAGGGCCCCTTTTATAAGGGTGCCGTANNCCGTACTATACCCTAAACCCTAAACCATATTTTGGGGGACCCAGAAAGTGACCCTCATTTAGAGAACTACCCATTTAGGGCTGCGGGGCTTAGGCTCGAGGCAAGGGCTTTTAGGGCTTTGAGTTTGGGGGATATCTGGGGGGTTTAGGGTCTAGGGTTTACGGTTCTGAGGTTTCAAGGGTTGCTTTGCTGCGGTTTAAAACTCTCACAGAATGGGGGTGTAAAATCCCTGGAGGGGCCGGTATCATGCCACAGACCCCAGTGCCTATGCACGAAGAAAATGCGGCCGGAACTGCGCCGCTTCTGCTGGCAAAACTACCAAAAGTTGCAAATCTGGGAACCTCACATGCCCAGATCTATGATCGCTTCCCCCTTTTATTAAACACCTAATCATTGGGGCGAATCTTCCCGAAATCATCCCTGCCCTTTAAAACCTCTTCTGAATTACGGGGAAAAAGTGTCGAGGCTCCAAATACCCTTAGAGCACGGTAAGAGGAAGAGCAAGAGCAAAAGCAAGAGTAGGAGTTAGAGCAAATCAGGAGCAAGAGCAAAAGCAAAAGCGGGAGCATCAGCAAGATCAGCAATTGCAAAGCAAAAAGCAAGAGCGGGAGTACGAGCAAGAGCAGAAGCAAAAGCGGGAGCAGCAGCAAAAGCAGCAGGAACAGGCGCAAGAGACGCAGCGAAGCAAGATCAAAAGCCACGCCGGAAGCATGAGCCAGAGCAGGAGCAAGAGCGCGACCCCTCAAAAGTGGCAGTAGAGATAATTATTTATCCCCTATTAGTGTAAAAACACTTTCTGAGTTTTTGTGGGGGCCGTTTAATATCACGGGGCAGGGATTAAACAAGAAGCCCTGAAATTTAAACCGCAGGAAACCCCAAACCCTGAACGTGAACCTCGAAGTGGGAAAGTGTTGTTGTCGGTGCATTTGGCTCTGGGCGCAATTGGTAGACAACTGTTCGATTGATGCGTTTCTAAGCCAGTCTCACAGGGGTGCGTCGTTCTTCGCACGAGTGGCGGACAGGCCACAGCCTAAACCCTAAATCCAAAACCCTAAACCCCCAAACCCAAAACCAAATGCACACACAGCGCGGTCAATCACCACAGGGAGGGCCGTCAAAGAGCCCTGAGCTCTTTGGATTTAAAACTGTCTATACGGATTCTAATGATCGGACACTTCTAGGGGGTGATGTAGGTTCCATACAAGCTTTTCCTCTAGCTGCTTTCTTTGAATGCGACTTCGCTCAGGAACGCTCAAAACCATGAGCCTGCCCCCAAACCTCTGAAGCCCCGAAAGCCCTTGCCCAGGGCAGCCCCTGAGGCCAAGCCCTGACATGAAGCGCAACAAAAAAAACTCCCAAATGCCAAACGCCCCCAAAAGCCCAGAAAGCTCTAAAGACGCAAGGCCCGCAAAAAGTCCCCGAAGCCCCCGTCAATCTCGAAGATCCCCCTGGCACCTAAACCGTCAACCCCAAAACCCCCAAACCCCTAANNCCCTAAACCCCTAGAACCCTAAACCACCTCCTGCACCGAAAGCATTGACGTCCACCGCCGCCTTCCGCAGGCTCTTCGCTTCTTAAGGGCGCTGAAAAGTCCGGGAGTTCATAGGCTCTTGGGTTTCTATATGGGTAGTTGTCAAAATTATGGTCCCTTTTGGGGTACCCTAAATAATAGGTGCCGCATTATAATAAGGACCCAAAAAGGGACCATAATTTTGACAACCACCCATATGGGTTTCTGTGGG